ACTACATATTTTTCTAATATCTTCAGAATCTAATAAATTTATAAAAAGTAAATGTCTACATGAATATGAAACATAATTTTTGTTTTCATACTTAAGTATAACCGAATATATTTTCAATGATGTAATTTTTCTTTGATAATTTGAACCAGGAACTAGATTTGATAAGATGAATACATGCAATCTGTTTAAAAATGTGAGTATAGATGTATTAAGTTTCTTAGACTTGYATAAAATATTTTTTAATCCAGAAACAAGTTCTGTCCTGAGAGTTGAACAATCGCTGTTTATATTATCAACAATAAAATTGTAAATAAAATCCAATATATTGGTTGATAACTTTGAAGAACACAAAATAGTGAATGCTACAGATCTTATTTTAGCATCACCAGAATTCAAAGATAAATCAAGTATTTCTTGAACATTTTCTACTTCAGTATTATAAACCATTTTTAATACATGTATTTGAAGATATAAATCAGATTTCATATTACATATTTTATAAATTTTAATTTTTTCATATAACATCAATAAACTGTCCATATGTTTGGTTTTCAATAGAGGTAATAGGTAAGTCACAAAATTATACCTTGTTAACCTGAAAAATTAAATTTTTAAATTTTTTACTAATTTCAAAACAATATTAATGCTAATAATTTACAGTTTAGAAATTATAATAACAGTTAATCAGTTAAAAAGACACAAAATTTGCACACATTACATGTTAAAATTTGTATAGAATTARCTATAAAGATAACAATATGATTTAAATTATTTATTATTTATTATTTTTATCATAGTTAAAAATTCTTAACATTTTCAATTTTAACAATTAATGATAGAAAATATAGTATGAGATACCACACAAGATTTKATATTATGATTTTGGAAATAAAAGAATGTATAAAGCCATATACATTTTTAATTTGAAATGTATGTGTAAAAAAGTATCAATGAATTATCATTTAACAATTTTTATTATTTTCCAAAAAATATTAATAGTAAATACTTTTTTTTCACAATAATATATACAATCTGTACAATTGATGCACAATAAGCATATATGATAAGGACAATAAATAATATGAGTACTTAATAAGAAGCCACCCACTAGTGGCACTTAATTTTAYTGTAGTTGTTTAAATATATGTCTATACAAAATATTGACATAAATTACATTTAAAATTTCAACAAAAAATTATAATACTTACTCAGAATTAATATTGTTATTAGTCAGATAATTAATAATTGGCTGCATTACTAAAGTACTAAAATCATCTTCACTTAAATCTTTAATGAATGTTTTATATAGATCCATACAAGGGGACATCAAGTATGGTTCATCTAAGCATTTCCACATTGAAATTGATAAAATATCATACTTCTCTAAAATCTAAAATTATAATAATAGGTAATAAACCAATAATATATTTGAACTTATGAGCTAGAAAATATTATATACCTTTTTGGCACCGTATTTTGATGCAATAACAGTCAACATATAAAATTTAGTYCTCAAAGACCATGATATTTCTATCATTACTATATTAATTATATAATCTAAATCTTCAAGGTCTAAACATTTGTTCAAAAGTAAAATACATTGATCATGGATTGATGGTAAATAATGATTAATTTGACCCATTAGGACCTTATAAATACATTTTGATGACTTTTTCCACTGATCTTTTGTTATAACTGTCATACATTCCGTTAAGTATTTTAAAGCTTCTAAATTTATTTCATTATTATGGAAGCAAAAATCACAAATATTTTCAATTGAATTATTTATATAATTTAATTGTTTTTCAAATTGAAAGCATTTAACAGCACCAACATGAATAAGCAAACAATATCGATCATACTTATCTGATGGTAATTTAAATTCTTTTCCAAGACTTGTAAAATATGTAATATTAGAACCACTAATATCTGATTCATCTAATTTCATAGGTAAAGTCCATTTATTTGTTTCTTCATTATTAGATTGTTGATTTGTTAAACATTGATTAACTAAATAAAATGTTCGATATAAAATTTCAGGAAGAGAACTTTGATAGTCTGATGCATGTTTTTTGTAATCAACTATGTCTATTAAACGAAAGTGAATATTTTTAAAAATATCTTGGAATTTATGATTTTTTGTGAAACAGTCTACATCACTATCAATACTTTTTTGAAGATAAGTATTTAACTCCTGAAAAGTAATTAAAAATATCATATAACAGAT